CCATCTTCTCTTTTCTTTATGGCTACTTAGAAGGGCAGGACACTTTTGTCACAAAAATAACACTTGCAGTTAAGAATGAAATTCAACTTCAGTTACACATAAAGAACACGGTATACATGAAAATTACAGCAGTTGGTCTTTGTACATCGTGAGTTTTCTAAGAAGTAAGATAAATAGATTAGTTTACATGTTAAGATTATAGTTACACCATGGTAGGTATTTTTGGATGTTTTTTCACCAATGATGTTTTTTCACCCCTCTTTTAAGAGTCCTTCAGTTAAACTCACTGAAATCTAAGGCATCCACTTATGTGTATTCTGTGCACATCTGCATCTTGGACCCCGGCAAAACCTAGGCCATGGTTGATTCCTAACAGTTCTGGTGTTTGAGCCCCAAAAACAAAGTATAAACATTTGAGCTGTATGTATGGGGCTGCTCAGAGCTTTCTTTTGTGTTTGCTTTACACAAGCCAGCTAAAGGAAAGAATTTAGGTGAGATCACATCTCTCTCCAGCTTCACACTGTATAAGATACACAGCAGACTTGTTTGACACACAAAAAACTGTCAGGTGGCGGTGGAGGATGAGGGGGTGCTGGTTAATCTTCCTAGCTCATATCAACTACTGCTGTAAAGTATTATGCTACTGCTTAGCAGCCTGGACACTGACTAGGCCCCATCTTTTCCAATGCTGCTATTGGGGGCATAAAGCATTTTGAGTAACAAGGTAATGAGCCTTAATGAGGTGAGAACAGCTGAGTGCACAGTTCCTGAACAAATTAGCCCTATGTGTAATTCAGCTGAAGCGGTACCTTTAATATTGAAATCAATGAGTTTTGCCAAAGGGTTAGAGCTATTTACATGATTTAAATGGCTGCCCATCTTATGTTACCCTCAGGCATCTTAAGTGGCTTATACTGTTCTTATTACCTGAATAGGAATATAATAATATCTCAACAGCCATATTCCCTTAGCTCAATGCTTTACTAAGGCACAGTGACTGTCAGTAAAAGGCTGTACAACTGGAGAGAACATTTGTTCCTTGTGGCTGTATGTGAAATGCTCTCACGTGGTAGAAGTGGTCTCATGTCCAAGAAACCAATGAAATGAAACTCATGGAAATGTTTGAAGTCTTTATTGTTGCTGTAGAGTAAATAAGTGACATGTGAATAAAACATTCTAACATATCGGTGGACTTTGAAAACTAAGGCTATTCTGTGGATTTGTCAGATCCTGGTGTCTGTTTTCATACAATGCATTTATAAAACAAAGCTATAAAAACATCCATTTTTTAAACAATTGAGATTAATAGAATGCACAGAACTAGAGACTACATTTAGTATGATCAACACAACAATCTTACAGACCAGCTTTTGCTTCCCACATTACTAACATTCAAAACAACAAAGAAAAATGCTTCAGTCTGATGCACTGTTATCTCAAATGACTTTGATGACAAGTAGAGACCAAGCATGAGTTCAACCTTCTTTTCTGAGCAAAGAGAAAGAGACCCATGATCCTGATCAGGAAACATTTGAAAAAGGAAAATGAATGGTACCCTTAAAGGCAAGAAGAGCGTGCCATTCTTCTCAAGAAACACAAGTGAGATCTAACAGACACACCGGCCCCATAGCATGAGTGCAGAATGCACCAGGGCATGGCCACTGGGACTAGAGAGAATGGTAGCTCTCAGAATTCATGCTAAGAAAGTGAGCGGTCTCCTGGTGCCAGTATGCTTCCATGAAAGATCAGTGCATTTGATTTCCAGAGCTCCAGAGCCTTCTAATTCAGTAGCACTGGAAACATTTCAAAGGGAAAGGATGTTAAAACAGAGCGGTCTGGCACTTTTTAATATGTGTAGTTTGAATTAACTAAACAAGGGTGAATGAAAACAAAACAGCCTCCTAGTGGCCTGAATGCTAGGGCTAGTTGGATAAGAACCAAAAGGGAAAGTGAATATAATCACAAGTTTTCCCCACTTCCCAACTAGTTTTATTCAGCAATGTGGCTCCTGAATTTCACCAAGATTATTCTTCTTTATTCAAATGTTAATATTTTTTTCCCCTTGTGTTTATAAGAAATCTGGAAATGGAGGTGGATTTTTGGATGCTCTCCATGTTTGTGCATCAGCCTCAATAATATTAGCTTTGCTTATAGGAAAAGGGTTTTATTCACTTGACTTGTGCTGCCCTTCATTGCTAGGGCAAGCTATCCTAACACATAGCATTTATAGCTCACAAGACAACAGAGTGACGGCTATATACATATTTTTATTTCTATGAGTGAGAGAGAAGTGAATTACAAATTTGCTGGATGTCTCCCACATTAAGGTATGTAAGAAATTTGGCCTCACTGAGATAGAAAGCTCCCCTTGACAGGTCAGCTCTTGGTTTGAGTTTCATTTTTAAAACCATTTAGAGATCTCATAGCAACAAAATACAGACTTAAAAAAAATACAGTAGAAATTTGCACTTTAGAAATGACCAAAGTCTCAAACTTTGATCCCTGACACATTTTATGACGCCATAGTTCGCTTTAGGACAGAACGGAACGCAGATGGTGTGTGTGTTGGTGTTGTGAAGGCTTGACCTCTGCAGTATTTGCTCAGCATCTAGGTTGGGGCTGTTGGAGGAGGCTAGCCTTTGATACTACAGGCGTCTGTAGAACCCAAGCCTTGAACAGATCCCCTTTGAAAGGTAGACACAGATGAGGTTTTTTTATCTCTTACTGCAGGAGCTGAGACAGCTGGGATCACCGGAAGTTGAAGCAAAAAGCAACGCTATCATATGGAAAACATGCTATGTAAATTAGAACAGCTGCCTTCATATCATAGGCCATTTAAAATGCCTCCCCAGTGCAAAAAGACCATCCTTTTCTGCTGTACTTGTGACAATACAGTATCAGTTGTCAAGCTATTTATGCATGTATGTCTAAATATAATGTGAGGAAGTTTGTTAAGAGACTTGTGCCTAAATTAGATGCCATTTTTACTAAAGAAATAAAGGTTTAAAAAAAATTCCTGAAGTAAAACAGATGGCTTCAAGTACTTATGCATAATAACTAATTAGTCATTGTGAGCAGGGATTAAAAAACAGCTGTCACCTTGTAAGGGGCAGTTAAATATAGGTCAATGATTTCATCCAAAAGTGGCCTGAGATTCAAAAGCATCAGATAACCATGCTTAATGCTCACATTCAAAAGAGAACCAATTTGTCTGCAGTGCTGAGCCCAGTGTTCTAGAGGTGCAAAATAATACACAGTAAAGTCTTCAGACTGCAAATTTACACTTCACAGTAATATAACTCATCATATGGAGTTAGATCACCCCAGCATAGCACAGGCACCTTCCAAAGCCTTTTGGGGAGCAGATCAGAAGAAATAAAGAATGGTCTGTGGCTGTGCAGTAGGCCATCTTTGAGGCTAAATGCCAAAGGCAAGCTGAGGTGTTTGCTAAGTGCTGAGGGTGTTCATTCCATAGTCTCCATAATCTGGAACCTCAATTTCTACTATACGATGAGGATTGTGTGACATCATCAGAAAAAAAAGTGTTCTTTGTCTGTAAAGGTTTGAAAAGACCAATATACCCTTGGTTTATCTGGCATTCCACCAATTTCGCTTTTCAATGCAGGACTCCAACAAAGGACTGGCCTCTGAGAAAGAGGAAAGCCAAGGAGCATACTAGTCTTTGCATAGGGAAATCATGTTTCCTGTGTTGTGATAAGTTGAACTATTTCTTTTGTCATAACTGCGCACAACCAATCATGGCCTGATTGAGTTTTAGCAGATCTGAGTTGTAAACTAAGAAAAAAAAAGTTTTCCTACTGTAAACACTGAGGGTGTCTTTACACATGCTTCAGGGGTGGGGATGGGGGGAGGGCACTTTAATTGGAGTGGCTCTGTCACGTATTTGGTATCCTGCTCTGCAAAATGGTGGTGGGGGTGCTTTAACTAAAGCTTGTTTCACGACATTTGGTTAAAGTGCCCCCACTGCCATTCTGAAGTATGGGGACGCTGACTACAAGAGATGTGAGGGCTGTTGGATCATGCTAACTGGCACGTTCCAGCAGACTCTATTGACTCTGTTCCAATGCACTGTAATTATAGCATGTTGGAGCAGTGCCCCTGCATGTCTACAGGCATCCTGAAGTTTGAAATGACTCAGAAAGCACTTTAAAAACCAGAGAAGCAGCTTCAAGGAGTAGACATTTTTTCAGATTAGTTACTTCTACAGAAAGAAGTCAATACTTGCTAGCTACCTAACAAACAACTGGTTTTGTTTTAGGGGAACAAATGCATCTAAGTAGCAGGTGCAAGTCTTCATAGGGTACAGGTGTTATGTAACTGATAGCTGAACTGCAAGGCAGGGGGGAGGGGACGGTTGGTGGTGGGAGTTGGGGTAGGGGGGAAAAAGCTGGCAGAATAGGTCTTGGAAATATTCAATTAAGACTCATGTTGGGTTGGAGCAGATGGCCCTGCCTGTACAACAACATAAGACATCAAGGTTAAAATTTTCATCTAATTTCTTATTCAATGAGCCAGCCAGTCAACAGCCAGGAAAATCTGTGAGAAAGAAGTTTAAAACAAATACAAAAATATTAGAAATACTGGGGAAGGAAGGGAGAGGGGATCTGAATTTTAAATTTGGTGATTATTTTATGACAAGGTGAGTGTATGGGAGTCACAGATCTGTCTCTCTCAGCTGGACATTGTGTACTTGCACATTTGAAAAGTTCAGGGTGCATCACATTTACTAATTTCTTAATGATTGTTCAATAATCCAGCATGTTATTTCATAACTACAGTATGCTGCAATTGCTAACTGCTTGCAAGAGCAATACTGATATTACATTCAAAGATAAAAACTATCGTTTTCACAGTTAGCAAGAACTAATATTTCTCTTTCTTTTCCACAGAACAAGTGAAAAATATCTTTAGTAATAATGGTAGTAAGAAAAGACTGAGTGTTATCATGCAAAAAAATGTGTCCCTGTACAAAGTCTGCGGCACAAACAGCCTTCTATTCCGTCTTCTCACCATACAAATTTTGTTGTTTATTAACATATTGATGACACGCAAGCTCAATTAATTCTAGCCCTCCAAATATTTTCTGTTGCATGGCAAAAATGATGACCATGATCAAAAGATACCATCGCACAAAGCTGTACAAGTACAGCAGTACAAACATAGCAAGTGTGAAGACTGTCCAGTACAAGAGTGAAATGCACTTAACAACTAGGACCCTGAGTTCAGATTTACATGGTGGAATTATGCTTCGCCCCGTTGCATCGAAGTACTTTTCACCTTCGTAGAACTGCCGGAGTCTCTCCTCTTTCTCTTCCCAACGCTTCTGGCACCAGACCTGCAGCTCTTCCCTGGAAGTGGGCACAGTGTGTACTGGATATCTGCGGACATGAAAATGAATCTCCTTTGGGAAGTTTCCATTCAAAATGTGCTTCTCCGTTTGAGGAATGTTTTGAGGGTATGCCACAGTGATATCATGGATAGCATCAAGGTTATTACCTAGAAGAAACATGTTTGAGAACAAAATAAATACAGACAACAGGATCATCAGTTTTCATGACAATTAATAATGATTAGCTTAAGGCTACAATTAAAAGCTGTCAAAATCATAGTTGAATTCACAAAGGTTTAATGGCAGATACTGACTATCCTACTTATATAATGTTTAAAGGCCAGCAGGTCAATATTTCCTAATCATTTTCTGTATCTGGATTATAGCTAAGTCCCCAAGGGACAAAATGACATTCATTTACAGAAACACTAATCCAGAATTCTCAAAGAGGATGGGTAAAAGCATAATGTTAAATTTCATTTCAAAGAGAGATTAGTATAGGTGTGCCTGGTCTTTGCTCCAAGTAAACATAAGGTTCCGGTCACTTTATTTTCATATCCTTCTGTAAACTGTTTCTTACTGCATTGGAAACTGCAGTTCCCTTTTACCTACTAGCTACGGCACTTTTTGCAAAATGGACTGTAATGGCCATACAAAAAGAAATCTGGTTTAAAATTTGATTCAGATATGTATCAAAAGATACATTCTAATTCATTGACGGGCTACGAAAAAAAGAGAAGAGACAAAAACCCCAGAAAACTAAATCAGGGAAGTCTTCATCTGATAGAAGATGGCGAACAGCTTCATGATCAGCCAGGTTGGGAAACAGAGCAGTCAAATTGACACTCCCCTTTAAATAGAACTATTCAGTGTTTCAAATGCCAGACATTAGTGGCCTTTGCATGAGGCTTATGGTTCCTCAGTACATTCTAGGCCTGGAGAACTAGAAGCGATGTGCAAAAAAGGGAGAATGTTATGTTTGGGTACAGCTAAGTCTATGATTTGAACCTGTCAATCTAATCTAAAAACAACTTTAGATTAGACATTATAGAGGGGTGTTGACAAAAGGACTCTGCTCTTCTATCATTATGCCTGACCGAGCCAATCTACGTGTTAGAACATAAATGTTGCTAAAATAAGTTTTACCATAGCGTCTGTGCATTAATATTAATTTCAGGAAGATGCACTCTTCTGAACATCCCCTCTCCCAGCAGCTTCTGGCCAAATGACATTCTTTTCACATTTCATAAAGCTAACTTTGCTAGTTTAAAAATGATCTAAAAATAGTTGTATTGCACACCAATGTGACATTAATGTTATGATTTGCCAGCCCTATGCTATGATTAATTTTGTGTTGCTGTTTTGATTTGGTTGGTCATCTCAAAGCAGAAAATGGTGAGTTAGAGACTAAATAGATTCAACTTGTCTATAGGGTGAAGCAACTGAAGGCAGTTTCCACCAAAAGGGATTTCATTTCTTAGGTGAAATCACTGCATGGAGACACCAATTTACTGGTCCCAAGATTATCTCCATCTCTGCACCGCTGTCCCACATCTCTAAACATGACATAAAAAGAGTGGGAAGTGTTACTTTAAAAGCCAGTGTTCAAAGTAACATAGCCAAAGTTCAACTCCAAATACCCTGAGGTTAATATTTACTCTGCTTTTGAGAGTTCAACTTGTACTTGTTACCTTGCCCCTTGTTGGCATCAATTTGGCTTCCTGAACACAGTCACCTAGGAACAAATTTCCTTTTGGATTAATTACCTTTAAACCCTGCTTAACAGTGTTCCCTCTCACTCATGTTACCCTCAATCCTCCCCTGTTAACTTGTCAGCTGGTGCGTAGCCAGCTGGAAAAACCTTTGGCCACTGTTTACTGCATGGTTTGCATGAATGTCTAGCAGCCAATATTGTGATGTAGGCAGCATTTCTTAATTTTATCATTTAAGCTGGCATGCTCCGATTGACACGTACAGTAACAATGCACATTACTAGAAATGGTTATAGAAACTGTATGGCTCTGTCCCTGTACACTAAACAGTTGTTCGATCACTCATTAGAGCAACATTATATATTTGGGCCAATTTGCTCATGTGCCGCGAGGGTCTGTGATGCTCTTGCCATAAATTGCTCAGATACAGACACTGGTGAGATACAGATCAGACTGCATTTTACCACTGTGCAATATTATAGTTTTCTCCCATAAAGTGCTGTGCCACATATAGCTTAGGACAGGGGTTGGCAGCTTATACTGCCTGTGAGCCAGAACTGGCTCAGGAAAGTTTCACCTGGCCTGCGGCAGCACAGAGTATCAGGCACAATACAGCTGTGGCATGTCCCCCATCCCCTCTACAGCACCCTCCTGCTGCTCTCTTGTGCCTGCACTGACCCTCATTGTAGTGAGGCCAGATACCTATAGTCCCAGTGCAGCTAAAGGTTGCCAACCCCTGATTTAGATCACTGAAGAATTGCACAGGATTCCCAAGGGCTTGCTGAACAGGTTTTGTAGAGCTATAGAGTCAGATCCCATTGAGATGGGGAATTGCTGCATTCTATACTAGAAGCTTTCAAAATTCCTTTTAAGAGAGCCACAAGTAGAGTGCATCAGAGTAACTCAGCCTTTAAGAATGAACTGTGGCCAGGCCAGTTTCATGCTTTTAAGTCTCCACCTTTGCAGAGGAGCCAGATTTTTTCTCTGCCCCTTTCTAACACTTCTAGTCCCTGTGTTGCAGCTCTGCCCTAGAAGTGGGCATGGCTTGTATTGGGCAGCTACCCAAGTGTTCCTAGATAAGCCTACTAGATACATGCCTCAGTGAGATGTGGATTTCCTAAGTTCTTCCTTCTATACCTGAAGTGCAAAAAAATTATCCTGTTCACTTCTCCCTGTCCACAGGGCTTCTGTTCTATAGACCACTGTAAGCTTACAAGAGTGAAGAAAGGTGGATCAGACCAAGTGACAGCATTACATAAAAATTCCCTTTAGGCTGTTGCTAAAGATAAGCCAGTTTAGCAATGGATCCAGCAGCACTCTGCATAAAAATGCCCTTGACAAAAAATGCTAAATAGTACTACACAACAGCTCTCCAGCCTTCTCTCCATCATTTCTGCCTAGATTCAGCTGAATAATTATCTTGCTGTTATCACCCCTCCTGAGGGGGAGGGGTGGGATTCAGATTTTTCTTAAAATCAAGACATTACACATAAGCAATAAGTAACATTCAACACTTCCATCACCACATTTCAATTTAAAAATAATATATTTATTATACGATGGTGTGTATTAGGCTCTGATGGGGAAATTAAGTAATCTTAACAATGCCCATTCTGTTCATCTGATTAAAACTCGTATTTTGTTAGCATCCTCTCACCCACTCAACTGCATCATGCTTGAAATTAGACAATCCCCATCAGAACAGAGACCAGGTTCTCTCTGCATTGCAAAGTGACTATTACATTTTGACTGTAAATTAATCCTAGGGCAGAGCTCAAAAACTTTTCCACAGTAGCTAGACAAAGCTTTACTGATTCCTTGTTACAAATGGGAAAACTGAGGCAACTGGCTTAGACTAGCAGCGAGTGAGGACTCCTAATTCCCAGTCCTATGTTTTGCTCATTAAACTACCATAATATGATGATAAACACAAAATAAATATTTTTGATAAAGATTAAATGACATAGGTACTTCAAAGGCAAATTCAGCAGTCCTAAAGGCAGAGAAACATAAAATACAGAAATACAAGAGTTAATTTGCAGGGCTCTTTAAACACATCATTTGTCTTGGTCATGAATATTTAGAAACAAAACACAAATGGCATCTTGAAGCTTTTAATTCCCTGGCAGAGTTCACATACAGAGATGACAAACTTCAGCCCTTCTTTAATAACTATTGAAAGGAGCGTGGCCTCTGCTATTATTACCTGCAGTAAGCTGTTGGATCCACACTGCATACCTCAACAACTCAATAAAAAGTTTGAGAATGTTCTCCATTAATCTGTCAATGCCATTTATTAATATGAATAAGGCCATACTGCAACCACACAGCACCATACAAATGAATGCGAGTTTAAAAAAAAAATCACTGCAATAGGTAAGTAAATCCCAGAAAATCAAAAATTCCTTAGGAAAGGTGGAATGTCTTTAATTACAGTCTGGGTCACTTTCTCGGCAGCCATGCTTTTAGGGCTGCCTCTCTCTTCCAGTGCAGGCTCATTTGCTGTGCACTGCAGAAACAAAGAAACAGCAGCTGGTACAGGACAAATACAATTTCAGGGCTGGCCAACAAAAGGCAAGCAAGGGCCACGTCACAGGGAATGATGTGTTATGGGAGAACTGCAGGGCAACCAGAAATGGAGGGGCTGGGGAGAGAAAAAACCGGGTATGCTGTATGTTAGAAACAGCTAAGAAGGGATTAGAAGGGGAAAATGAGAGAATGACTCAGGAATGGAGCCAACTAGAGAAGAGGAGATAGTGGAGGAAGGTGGCAGTGAATATCTTGCTTAGCAAGTTATTTCTAAATAAGAAAGGATGCCACAGGAAGATGAGGAGAAGGAGGGGTGAAGTATGAAAATACCATGCTGTGCAGAAAGTTTAGGTTACTGGACTTAGCTTTACTAATACATTTTACCTCTTATGAGCTCTCTCTAGAATATGACCCGTGTTCCTGTTAAAGAGTGGCAGGGTAGTAGAGGGATTTGGCAGGTGGTGCATTAGCAGAATGTATCGGATGGGAACTGCGTCAAACTGGAGCTTACCGTTACCAAAGGGCATGTAACTAGGTTAGCTAGGAAGCAGGCAGCACTTTCTCCTTACTGAATTTAAAATTTAAAACCCTGCTTACAAATACCTTGTTCTGCACATTTCAAGTGGAACCCATAATCTGTATTTAGAGTCACATTGCTCTAACTACCATTAGCTGTTCTTAATGAGCCAGTAATTGAAAGCGGTAATTGTCTGTAGCCTGTGCTTAATGAGAAAGATCTGAATGAACGGGGATGTACTAACTTTCTGGGATGCTTCTCATTTGTGCAAATGCACCTGCTATTCTGGGAGGAGAGAAGAAATCAAATAGTGCTCCGCTGAATCCAAAAAGTTAGCTCCTCACTGACATTTCACCTTCAGGATCCAAGTTGAGTAATTGCCTAAATGAGCATAACCAAGACAGTGAAA